CGTGGAAGCTTTTAGATCTTTTCTAGGCACAGCATTTTTATTCAGTAACTTTTCAAGAGAAGCATTTTATTAAGATCCATCTTATTTATTAGGAAATTGAGACTCAGATAAATTAATTTCTCAATCACAGAAGAACTAGGAAGTGCCAGAAGCAAGATTTAAATACCAATTCTAGATTTTGTGCTTTACATTATACTCTGTTAATGCTTTAAGATTTTAGGGGACCGTTGAGTTCATTAGTCAACCACTTGACCTGTACCAGTAATTTACCTTGATATTTATTTATTTACTTCTTTTCTTTTTTTTTTTAAGATTTTATTTATTTATTCATGAGAGACACAGAGAGGGAGAGAGGTGGAGACATAGGCAGAGGGAGAAGTAGGCTCTGTGCAGGAAGCCCGATGTGGGACTCAATCTCAGGACTCCAGGATCACTCCCTGGCCAAAGGCAGACTCTTACCCACTGAGCCACCCAGGCGTTACAACTTACTTTCTTATTTTCTAACGTAATTCTTTCTCTGAAGAACTACACTGATTCACAGTATGGGCCAAAATACCACTTTTTATTCTTACAAAAATAATTTCAAGGTATTATAAATAAAATAATTCTATTACTTACTTGAGAAGTCTCTGTTACATCAAAACCATCAAGGGCTGTAAGATAAGTAATCTCATTTCAAATTTCTTACATATTCAGAACATTAGTCAATACATTTTAATGCATCAGTCACTCTATCCATCCCAGTTTACTTCTTTTTATTTTTTTCTTTCAAGTTTTTATTTAAATTCCAGATTGTTAACATACAGTATAATAGTAGTTTCAGATGTAGAATTCAGTGATTCGTCACTTACATACTATACCCAGTGCTCATCACAAGTGCCTTCCTTAATCCCCATCACCTATTTAACCCATCCCCTGGTTTGTTCTCTATAGTTGAGTTTTTCTGTTTTGCCTCTCTTTTTTTCCCTAGCATGTTCATCTGTTTTGTTTCTTAAATTCCACATGTGAATGAAATCATGTGATATTTGTCTTTCTCTGACTGTTTCACTTAGCATAATACTCTCTAGCTCTATCCACAACGTTGGAAATAGAAATGGCAAGATTTCATTCTTTTTGATGGAATAATATTCCAGTGTGTGTGTGTGTGTGTGTGTGTGTGTGTGCGCGCGCGCGCGTGCGCCATATCCTCTTTATCCATTCATCAGTCAATGGACATTTGGGTTCTTTCCATAATTTGGCTATTGTAGATAATGCTGTAAACACTAGGGTACATGTATCCCTTTGAATCAGTATTTTTCCAGTTTACTTCTTTTTTAAAACACAGTGTTTTAATTCTTTGTCATATGAGACAACTTTCTGATTTTAACATGCTCCATTCTAATTAACACCTTAAAATCAGTTGTCTGTCTCCTAAAGCACTACAAAATGTGGCTTGTCTTTTATGAGGTGTGTTAAATGTGTCTTCCATTTCTTTGGGCTGTTAATGTTAAATCAGTGATAACTTCTCTAAAAGGGATCATTCTGAAGAACAACCAGTTCAGAGTGATTGTTATATTAACATAAAAGAGTCACTCTGAACTGTTACATTACACATATTTTTTTTATTTTAACAAGATGTAATGTAATCCTTTTAAGGTGGAAAAGCATTAAGGTTGAATTTTATTTGCGACAAGTCCTTAAGTAATATACTGACCACATTTTACTAGAGGCTGATATTACCACCAAATTATATACACTAAGCTCTTACATACTATGCAAAACAAATATGAAATGGAATCCTTTTCTATACAATCCTTGGTCAAAAGAAGCAAAAGTATGGACATAAGATAACATGTATATAAAATATATGGTATTCAAGGTAGATGTGAATCAATATGCAGATCCAAACCTAGCAAGTGGTGTCTATTCATCTTTATCATTTACCACCATAATTTCACAAAAGCCACTTAGTCTTTTTATATTGGGTTCATTTCAGATACTAAATATATATAACAGCCCATCAGCAAAAGAATTGGGACTTCTGTATCATTCATTATATACTACCTATTTCTTTATCTTACTTACCTCCTTCCCCTAGAATCTATCATACAGCACAGACAAAGAGAAGCAAGCATAAAGAGTTACTCATTAGCTCAGTTCTGCCCTCCCTCGCTTTTGGAAAAAAATTTTATTCCAAAATTGTTTTCTTAGGGGGAAAAAAGTATTTTAATAAATCATATCACAAAGTTGTTTTGTGGGATGGTAATAGATATTAGAGGAAATTAATAAGTCATTGGAAGGGTTCTATAGCCAAACTGGCTAAGATTGGGGGTCATTTTATTCACTGCAGAATTTTTTAAGACTTTAAGGTGCTATAATATGTTCATTATAATCTCTGTAACAATAATGAGCTATTGCATAAAAAATTCCATAACTAATTTGGAGAATTTATCTTAAAAGAATCATCTTTCACCCAAAATCAAGTGGTACACCTTGGAAATCACTGCTTTGACTCTTACAGCACATCAGTTATAGCCTTTTCAAAAATGCAGTAACAGGTTTTAGGGAAATTGTCCCTCTCCCTGTTAATACATATTCATCTTATAAGCAAACTGTTAAAACAGGTTACAAGCTTATATAAGTGGATTTGAATAAATGATCCCTCAAAAACACTGGGTTTATGAAGAATGATTTTATAAAGAAAAAAACTATTAAAGCAAACTCAGTTCCATACAAAGGGTGCAGGAAAAAAGATAGGCTTCTCAAGGGACCTGCTTTATAATGACAAATTGAATCACTCCAAACTCTTTAAAGTTTTCTCTATCAACCAGTTTTTTTTTTAATTTATTTATGATAGTCATACAGAGAGAGAGAGAGAGGCAGAGACACAGGCATAAGCAGGCTCCATGCACCGGGAGCCCGACGTGGGACTCGATCCCTGGTCTCCAGGATCGCGCCCTGGGCCAAAGGCAGGCGCCAAACCGCTGCACCACCCAGGGATCCTATCAACCAGTTCTTAAAGACGCATCTTCTTTTTCCTCAATTGTTATTATACGGACATCCCAATAGGAGGCATTGGTTTCCTGTTGAGATAATTTGAAGCTAATAAAATACTCATATTTTTTTTCAGTTGTTTGAGAAGCTCAGTGCATTCATTTTAAGAGAAAGATTTTTTTAAATAACCATTAATCTATGATTAGCTTTTCACATGTTTGAAAGAAACTGTTAGCCAGCAACAGGAATGCCTGAAGAAAGTGGACACTACCTTATTTGTTCATTCAATTAACAATTAACTGATTTTACTTTGTACCTATTACCATGCTATAATACTAGAGTGAGAGTGAAAAGACAAGCCACAGACTGGAAGGAAATCTTCGCAAAACAGGTATCTGATAAAGAACTGATACACAAAATATATAAAGAACACTTAGGACTCAGCGGTAAGAAACCAAACAACCCAGTTAGAAAGTGAGCAAAAGGTCTAAACAGGTATCTCACTAAAGAAAATATATGAATGGCAAATAAGCATATGAGAAGATACTCAACCTCATATGTCATTATGGAATTACTAATTAAAACAGTGAGATATGGGACGCCTGGGTGGCTCAGTGTTTGAGCGTCTGCCTTTGCTCAGGGTGTGATCCTGGAGTCCCAGGATCGAGTCCCACATCAGGCTTCCTGCATGGAGCCTGCTTCTCCCTCTGCCTGTGTCTCTGCCTCTCTCTCTCTCTCTCTCTCTCTCTCTCTCTCTCTCTCAAATAAATAAACCTAAAAAGAGAGAGGGGGCAGGGAGAGAGACCAAGGTACCACTATACAACTATTAGAATGATTAAAATGATTGACAAAACCCAGTGCTAGCAAGGATATGGAGCACTGGGATTTCTCATTCATTTCTGCTGAAAATGAAAAATTGTACAGTCACTTTGGAAATTTGACAATTTCTTTAAAAGCTAAACATTGTCTTATCATGGGATCCAGCAATTTGTCTTCTTGGTATTTATCCAAATGAGTTGAAAGCTTATGTCCCCACAAAAACCTGCACAGGAATGTATATAACAGCTTTATTTATAATTGCCAAAACTTAGAAGCAATCAAGATGCCCTTCAATAGGTGAATGGACAAACTATTAAAGGGAGTATTATTCAGCAATAAATAGAAATGAGCCATCAAGTCATGAAAAGAAGTAGAGTGATCTTAAATTCTCGCATTGCTAAGTGAAAGAAGCCAATCTGAATAGGTTACTTACTATATGATCTCAACTATAAGACATTCTGGCAAAGGCAAAACTCTAGGGACTACTGAAAGATCAATAGTTGCCAGGGCTTTGGAGGGAGAAAGAAAAGGATAAAGAGGTGTAAAACAGGATTTTTAGACCAATGAAAGTGTGTGTAATACTGCAATGGTAGATACATGCCATTATACATTTTTCAAAATCCATGAAACTGTACAACAGAATGAGCCCTAAAGTGTAAATTATTAATGACAATGTATCGATATTAGTTCATCAATTAATCAATTATAGCAAATTATAATAGGGGAAACGATATACAGGATAAGGGCTAGGGAGAATAGATATATGGGAACTCCTTGTACTTTCCGTTCAAGTTTTCTGTAAACCAAAAGTTGTTCTAAAAAGTAAAATCAGGGATGCCTGGGTGGCTCAGTGGTTGAGTGTCTGCCTTTGGCTCAGGTCATGATCCTGGGGTCCTGTGATCGAGTCCCACATCAGGCTCCCTGCTTCTCCCTCTGCCTATGTCTCTGCATTTCTGTGTGTCTCTCATGAATAAATAAATAAATTCTCTTTAAAAATAAGGAAAAAAGAAAAATCAATTAGTTTGAAGACCACCAACTTATAACATTACATTTTGGCAAGGACCTGTAATTATGGGCCCTTTGTTTAAAAAAAAAAAAAACAGCCTGAGTTAAGGTCATAAACCTCTGTGAATGACAATAGCTTATGTCACAGGGCTGTCATAGTATAACACTATTTATATTCTATGCCATTAATTTTTTTTATATAGAAGATCCTTCTTGAAGAGACCATGAATATAACTTTGATGTGGGCTCCTCTATTTTAAGACAGACTGTAAGTTACCTTCTCAATTTCTTTTAAACCACTTCAAATCTAAAAATGATGGGAAATGCTTTTGGGCTTTTGTTAAGATTAATACACCCATTGCCCCCTTTATGAGGCCTCCGACTGGTACTTTCCTTCGAAGGGAATGAATCCACCAGTTCTGGGATGTCTGCCCTGGCAGATTAGCTGGTGGTTGACTTCTTACTATACATCCTCAATCAGTCTATGATTGGCCAGAAAATTTCACATTATTTTGTACCACTTGAAAGCAAAAGGGGAGGGAAAAAATCCTCAAATTGCTGTTTTCGAGTGTCCAAGTACAATTTCGAGTAACAATTGAGTTTGACCCTGAAGCCGATGCTAACTCTAAGCCTGTCTTTAATCAAGTTAACCACAACATGCAGCCAGAGAAGTAGGCATTTGCTATTATGTCCCTCCTTATCAATACAAACTCCTACTCAAATTTTTAACTTCCCACAGCACTCTTAGCAGCCCCAAACTTCCTCTTTTGTACCTCTCAACCCATTGCAATCTATATTATTTTCTAATTATATTTCTTAGGAAAATAAGTCATGAGAACAGAATTTTTCAATGAGCACTTTTTTTCTGGAAAAGTTATTTTAAGATATGTTCTTAGCAGGTAATAAAAAAGACGAACCAGAAACTTAGCTAAGTGAGTACTGTGTTTCAAGAATTCAAATCCTGAAGAAGATTATTTTAATATCAAAAGAATGTTGGTGGCATCTCCTAGTGACACAGATTTCACTCAAATCTCCCTTTTGCCATGGGTTTAGAGTTGAGCCTCTAGTGACGTTGATATTTGTAATATCAAACTTCTTTTCAACAAGAACTAAGTAGGTCTTAAAATTCTTTATTTTTTCCTGGAGGTGATAGATGGTAAAGAGTTTCCCATCAGGGATCCCTGGGTGGCGCAGAGGTTTAGCGCCTGCCTTTGGCCCAGGGCGAAATCCTGGAGACCCGGGATCGCATCCCACGTCAGGCTCCCAGTGCATGGATCCTGCTTCTCCCTCTGCCTGTGTCTCTGCCTCTCTCTCTCTCTCTCTCTGTGACTATCATAAATAAATAAAAATTAAAAAAAAAGAGTTTCCCATCAGCTCACTTATAAAAGAACCATTGAAAGAAGGAGGAAAGAAAGAGTAACTAATGGGGATAAATCCCTTTAAAAAGAAGTAATGAATAATCAACATTAGAATATTAAGATGTGAAATAGGACTCTGAGTTCTTACGTCTTTTTAAAACAGCTTTATTAAAATATATTTCACATACCATACAATTCACTTATTTAAAGTGTACAATTTAATGTTATTTTTAATTTTTTTAGCATATTCACAGTATTGTTCAATCATCACCACAATCTAACTTTAGAATATTTTCATTCCCACTAAAAGAAACCCCATACTCATTACCAGTCCATCTTTTAAAAAAATATATTTTATTTATTTATTTATTTATTTATTCATGAGAGACACAGAGAGAGGCAGAGACACAGGCAGAGGAAGCAGCAGACTCCATGTGGGGAGCCCAATGCAGGACTTGATCCTGGGACTCCAAGATCACGCCCTGGGCCGAAGGCAGGCGGTCAACCACCGAGCCACCCAGGGACCCCCAACCAGTCCATCTACATTCCTTACCTGCACCAACCCCATTCTAAGCAACCATGAGTCTACTTCGTCTCTATAAATTTGCCTATTTCTGCACATTTCATATGCATGAAATCATACAGTTAGTGGCCCTTAGTGATGGATTTCCTTCACCTAGCATAACGTTTTCAAGGCTCATCCATGTTGTAGTATGTATTGATGCTTAATTTCATTTTATTGATGAATGATATTACACATTATGGAATATCACATTTTATTTCAACAGTTGATGGACATTTGTGTTATTTTAGCTTTTGGGCTAGCTACTTAGAACATTTTTTGTATGTTTTTGTGGGGGCATATGCTTTAATTTTTCTTGGGTTAGATACTTAGGAGTGAAATCACTACATCATATAGTAATCCTGTGTTTAATTTTTTAAAAGATTTTATTTGTTTATTCATGAGAGACAGAGAGAGAGAGAGAGAGAGAGGCAGAGACACAAGCAGAGGGAGAAGCAGGCTTCATGCGGGGAGCCCAATGTGGGACTTGATCCTGGGACTCCAGGATCACACCCTGAGCTGAAGGCAGACGCTCAGATGCTGAGCCACCCAGGCATCCCTGTATTTAACTTCTTAAGGAACTGCCAAATTGTTTTCAAAAGAGCTGCACCATTTTACATTTTCTGCCATCAGTCAATGTATGAGGGTTCCCAATTTCTCCACATCCCATCTCTTTCATAAATTAGCTTTCTCAAAAACGAATGTGTTAATATATTCATGCATGTTTTCATATGAGGATGCAAAATAAAGAATCTGGAAGAAAATGCACCGGGGTTTTAATATTTGTTATCTCTAGAAATCAAGATTACGTGTGGATTTTTCTTCATTTTTTTACTTATCCATAACTATGTTGTAAAAACAATAAGCATATGTAGCTTTTTCATTTTAAAAAGAAAGTATGATCTTCCTGCCAGTAGACCCCATAACACTTGTTCTCAGCTGCTGATTATTAGAAGCAACTAAAGGTACCTGGGTGGCTCAGTCAGTTAAGCGTCCAACTCTTGATTTTGGCTCAGGTCATGATCTCAGAGTCATGATCTCAAGGTTCTGAAATTGAGCCCCTCACCCATTTCTGTGCCTGCTTAAGATTCTCTTTCTCTCTCTCTGCCCCCTGCCCCCGCCAAAAAATAAAAGAAGTAACAAAGGAACTTTTTTTAAAATACCAGTGTCTTGACCATCTTTCATGTTTAGGTGATCTGGGATGATTCTAATGTGCAAGCAGAGTCAGAACTAAACCCTGTACTTTCAGTTCTAACTAATTTGTTGAGTTTTGCAGGAGGTGGGGGAAAAAAACCCTTTCTTACAGACTGGCAGTCTCCTGATGTGAATTTAGTTAGGCCATTTTATTTATGGTTTGCAAGGTATTATCTTTACTGGGTTACATCTGGAGAGGCTTCCTTAGTATCAAGAGGCTACTTCAAGAAACATGTGAAGAGGTGTCCCAAACTTTCTTCTGGCAAGTGTCATAGGAAGATCAGCAACTTAATGTTGAAATGAAACCATCTGGCACTTAAGGAGTTCTATACCTATAGTAAGGTATAATTTTTAAGCCCTCTTCCAAATAAAGCTGTCTTTGACTTCATGGATAACAATATTTAGACAATGATTTGTCATGCAGTCCTATGCTGCATAGTAGTAAGAGATGTGCAGAAGTGGTCTGAAGATGGGAGAGAGAAGATGGAAGTAACTCCATAAGAATATGCATCACTGAATATTCTACATCCGTTGCTTTATCTTTCACGTACAATAGGTGATTGGAGAGAAACTGGGTCCATTAAAATTCTTGATTCTGGTTATCTACTGTAAGTAACATACTTCTTGAATGAAGAACAAAGGAGTCAGCTTCATGGCTGAGTAATGGGGTATTGTGACTTTTTGTGTCCTATACCTTCAATACTAAGGATATTTGATGTTCCTGTCAGAAGGATCTACTCCTGAAGCATCTGAAGGCTTTTAACTTAAAAAATTGGAAGCATACATTCCTTGATAAATTTTTTTCTTGGTTCCTGTCTAGGCTCTATTTGGTGGGGTAAAAAGAGGGATAAAGAGAATGGTTGTCTTTTTCAATGACAAGGGGAAAATGTGCTACTGAATTTAAGCAGGCTCTCTTCACAAATGTCAGTGATTTTTGGAAGAATTATTTTTATCTACAAACCAATTTTCATGAGTTTTAACTGTGTACAAGCTACATGGTAATTCTGTTGGGAAAGCCAACGATGAATGACATTATTCAAGCTTTGAAACTCATATGACCCAGAAGAAAAAATATGTCCTAAAAAATTATTAAACAAAGTAGGATATGAAAATTTTCATGGAAATTACAAATAATAGTTCTGTAAAACTTCTAAGAATGAAAAGAGCACTTTTGTAAGTGAAAGATGTTTAATGTTTTTCCAGCATAATCTCAAAGCTGAACATCCCCCCACTATCTGAAAAATGGTACCAACTTTCAAATGAATCTGTAATCCTTGTTGCAAAATTTTTGTTCATTCTTTCTTTCACTGCACTGTTTATCATTATTATTTCTATATATAAATATCAGAAGTGTTTTGTTGTTTTGGCTTTCTGGCTTCTGCTAAAAATAGCCAAATTATCTGAAATTTAAAAACGTTAATTTGTAATCACATAGTACATTCATATCAAAGAAGATTCAGGATTCCTCTCCTGATTAACTTTGAAAGCTACTTTGCTTTTTCAAAATTGCTTTTTTTTTTAGGAGATACTGCCCTTATTATTTTTATTTTTTTCTATCTATATCTTTGAATATTTATTTTTTTAATTTTTATTTATTTATGATAGTCAGAGAGAGAGAGAGAGAGAGAGAGAGAGAGGCAGAGACATAGGCAGAGGGAGAAGCAGGCTCCATGCACCGGGAGCCCGACGTGGGATTCGATCCCGGGTCTCCAGGATCGCGCCCTGGGCCAAAGGCAGGCGCCAAACCGCTGCGCCACCCAGGGATCCCTATATCTTTGAATATTTAAAGCAAATTTGTTTTCACATTGTTCCATGCTCTGTTGGTTTTAACCTATGAATTCTCCTGTTGTTGAGATCCTAAGTCACATGGAGATCTGTTTTCTTAAATGCTTCAAATTTTAGTTGGATTCTATCTTCAGATTGAGTTGTTTTCAAAGGATATGTCATGATTCAAGCTTGTGAAGTCATTATTGTGTGTGTGTGTGTGTGTGTGTGTGTTTAAGATTGTATTTATTCATGAGAGACAGAGAGAGAGATTGGCAGAGACACAAGCAGAGGAAGAAGCAGGCTTCATGCATGGAGCCTGCCGTGGGACTCGATCCCAGGACTCCTGGATCACTGAAGTATATTTTTGGTAATATTTTCTCCAGGTCAACAGCAGGCACTAAACCACTAAGTCACCCAGGGATCCCTATTGTGGGTGGTTTTATGTCTCCCTCTGCCAGTCCCATGGGTCTCTCAACCAGTGTTTACAATAATTTCATGACCTAAGATTCTCTCACCAAGTGTAATGTGTGAATTTAACCCCCTATCCCTGCGTAGTATCAGTTTAGATTTCTTCCAGATGATTAATTTTCAACCATGATCTAGGACAGGCAGCCCATTTTTCTTGCCAAATTCCCAGTCCAGTGGAAAGAACTTTTCTAGCCCCTTCCAGGTTCTTGGTTTCATGCTGGTAGTGCACCTTTAGCTTCCCATGCCCCAGGGTCAGCAAACTCAACATTTGTCTCCTTTCCCAACTCTCTATTCTCAAATGAAAGTGATTTAGAACATCCAGGGTTAGTAGCCTCAGGGCCCATGGCTTTAGCTTCCACTCATTGCTCTGGCTTCAGATAACCTCTCTTTATTTCTGGCACCAGATAACCTCTCTTTATTTTTGTTTGCTGTTTTGTTTTCAAGCTTAGATATGGATATGCATGATTTTGTTGTTACATTCTGTTCACTAGTACTACCTGGAGCAAGGGGGAGGAGAGGCCAGTCAGCCATGACCAGAGACCTCAGTTTCATCTATTATGATACCACATAGATAATTTGACCTACTCTGCACCTTTAGTTTGCTTACATTTTTATGTTAAACAAACCAACAGATCACATAGACTGTCATGAAAATGCAATTTGAATCCTGTTGCTCTTGCTCTGTCTTCATGTCATGGTTGTCAGAGATGTCAAACTCTTAGAAAGCAAGCACTGCACCACATTCAGATATGCATTAGCATCACAGGAAAACAAAAAGAAACTTAGAGTAGTATGCATAATGTTTCTGAGGGTCCTATTTGCAGGGGAAAACATCTTTTCCTAAGTTGTCAACTTTCTTATTGGCAACTCTATTTCATAGATTCATACTAAAAATGTAGCTTCCTTTTGGTTTTGGCAGTGGTAACTGGTATCTTCATATTCTTTCTGTCCTTTTTTAGAATAAACAAGTTTTGCTCCTGCTTTTGCCTGCTGCAACCAACTCTCAAGCAACTGGAAGGTCATTGGACACTAGCCACAGCCATTGGCTGCAGTTTGTTTAACCCAATAGTTGGTCAAATGTTATTCTCAACCTTGAAATATAATAATGAGATTTTTTGTGTGTGTATGAGGGTAAGAGGGGTAAAATTATGAACTATAAAACCAGAGTGACAGGAAGGTGCTAGGAGAAATGTTCAAAACATTGGTGTGATTTATGAACATATGGCAAACAGATGTGGTGGAGTCATAGGGACCCCCATCTCCTTTTATAAATTTGGATGACATTTGTGTCCTTCTTGCATCACCCCAGCCCTAGGTTCATAATATGCTTTATTAAAATTCTCTGCAGGGCATATGGATGATTAATAATTGTTGATGACAGAAATTTGGTTTTGGTAAGCTGCACAGTGAAAGATAAATACAACGAGGCTATTTTAACCTCTGTACATTAAAGCTTATTAGAGTAAGTCTTCTCTGTAAGATGGTCTGTGTTGAGATTGTGTGTGATTTATGGAAATGTCGCCAGTGACCCTGGTTCTGGAAAAATTCTCAAAATCTCTTTTGTTGTTATCATCACTTGAGTTTCAGTTGTCACCAGGGAAAATCATTTTTGGAAAAAACATAAGAGTGGTCAAAATATGCTTCAAATAAAATAAATATTTGGTAGCTATCTAGGAATAAAAATACAATGAAAGCCTTGAGATGGATATTGGAAATAAAAATTTATTTGTAACCAGTTCTAAATGTGGTGTGGAAGAGAAACAAATGGATAGGAAACATTGGAATATTGGCTTTTGATCCTTTCCCCAACTCTAACATGCCTGGAAAATTTGGATAAGCTTTTTAATTATTTCTCCCTTTCTTAAAATAGCAAATGCCCTGTAATTAGTGTCTGTAATACAGTTTGAAAAAAAATTAATAAAATAAAAAATCCTAACAAGCATCTATGTGGCAAGAAATCCTATAAGTACAAATGTATTTATTGTGAAGAACTCATTTTCCTTTCATCCTTCTCAAGTTCACTTATCTAGAAGCAGATACTGAGTTTGAAATTAAGAAAAGGTCCTAATATTATATAAGCCTGGCTTTCAAATAGGAATATTGAAATTTACCAAAAATTGCATTCAGTAACTGTACTATTCACCATAAGGTAATAGTCATTTGTAAAACTGATATTTATTGTAAGATCATATAAATCCCACCTCAAGTGATATTTTGAGGAAAATTTAAAAAGGATAAAGGGGAAACACTCAGAAAATAATGAGAATAATGCTGGAGGTCTGATGATTACTGATTTGGTGAATTTTGCTTTGGCTGGGACTCTGATAGGCAGAACTGGAAGATCATACAGCACAAACACTTGATTTGCAGTTTCCAAAACCTCTCCATTTTTCCCATCCAAGAGTATGGCTGGCGGTTGTCTGGAAGTTGAAAGGAATGATTGCTGGATCAGGGCCTCCTACAAAGTGTTAGAGGAGTCAGCATGGGGCAAGTCTGTGCTTAACGTGTGGGGTTAAAATAGGAAAAGAGAACTCCCATGCTTTTCTTCATGCCCTCATTTTTCATGCAATTAGGGCAAATTATAAAAACAGTAACAAAAATGAAAACACACATGGTAACAATATCCTAATGTGTTTGAGAAATAATGCAGAAGATGGACTTAACCACCTCAAAAAATTTTGGGAAACTGTTCAGGGGTCTAAATGGAAGTCTGGTATTTTGATTACCTAGACAACTTTCCTTCGGTTCTGGTCACATCATCAGCTTCTCTCTCACCTCTATCGGGAGTGACTAATAACTCAGTTTTATACTTGTTTCTTAGAGAATGTATAAAAGAGCTTCCCTCAAAAAAAAAAAAGTGAGTGCTGTTGCATTCTTTTGTGTCTCTACAGTATTTTGTCCTCAGTCTGAAACTGGGTTAAGACACTTAGGCTTGAATAACTGGCAAGTCTCTTGATTCTTTTCTAAATGGAAGCGCCTTGGTGGTTGACAATTGAAGAATGATTACATTTTCTGGAGTACTTTGTGGGTTTGGTTTTTAAAACCAGTTCTTAATATTCAAGCTACTTGGAAGTTGGAGCTTCAGTAATAGCTAGTCATTTTGAAAATGTGGAATTTGTCCAGTTTTGAGTAAATACCAAACTGATATATTTTCAAAAATGTAAGTTACCACATTCAATTGTCTTGATAACCAATGGAGGAGCAGTAGGGTTTTCCTCCAAATTGTAAAATAATTTGATATTAAAAAATTTAAAAATAAAGGGAGTAGATTTTCCTGTGCAGATGTCATATCCAGATATAGTTCTCATGACTTAGTGTGGCCCTACAATGAAACTGTAAACTTCCATGTCTCAAATCTTGAGAATGTAGGAAGGAGTTATATTATGTTGTGCATTTTTTCAGATTAAAGATTATGTTGCATTAACCCAGACTTTCAAAAGTAAATTGAAATATTCTGGTATCCTGTCAGTGTAGTAGTTTTGACTTATCCTAGCAAGGGACCATCTCAATCCTGACTATATTTAGCTAACATGAACAAAATAATACCTGCAACTTTTTCTCATTTTTGAAATATGTATTGTCAATGCTTATTGATAATATTTGTAAGTTGAAATAGCACTTTAATTCATGAGAAGAGGCAGCCATATAATTAACTTGAAAACTGTCTTTATATCTTACTTGGTCTATTCTTGTCACCCACAACATTGCTAAATAAAACCTCCACTCATTCTTTCATCAATTCTACAAATAATTATTTAGCATCCTTTACATGTTAAGCATCTTAGTAGGGACTAGGTGTGTAAAGATTTAAAAGCAAACATAAAAACAAGATGAAACAGCAACAAAAACCACTGTCTCTGACTTTTAGTAGCTCATATTGAGGGAAACAGAATAAGTACCTAATAAAAATCCTACACAATATGACTGCTATAATAGAGGTATGTACAACATTCTATACATGTACAGGAAAAGGAAGGACTTGCTACCTCCAGAGAAGCTAGAAAGAAGTCACATAAACTGTATCTCATGTTGGTGTTTTCCAGATGTGAGACAAGGATGATTCCCTAGAGAGGACTGTGAGCAAGAACACAGAGCTGCGAACAGGAATATTTGGGAACAGATATTGGTAAGGATGCTGGGGTCCATATTATACAGTGCCCTTTCTATCCTATTAGGAAATTTACTATATTTGTTATAAGTAATGAAGAGTCTATTAAGATTTATAGGGAGAGGGATGGACATGATCAGATTTGGGTTTATATAAACCACTCAGAACTATAAAAAATGAATTCTGGGGAATAAGAACCTGGTGAGGAAGAACAAACAGATGGCTATTGAAAAAATTGTAACATGAACCAAGAAAACTGCAGGAGGAGGGGATAGAAATTAAGTTCCTCAGCCCCAATGCATGCCTGTATAAGTTCATCTCTGTGTCTATCTATGCCCCTCCCCCAGCAAGCTCTCACTCTAAACTGTTCCCTCACTCAACAAATTTCCCGTTTACCTCCTTTAAAATTCATGACATATTTCAGACATACAGAGGCTCTAAGAACTAATGTAATAAATACCTGTGAACCCACTACCCTGTTTAGGAAATAAAACATTAATACAAATGAGGGCTTCGCTGTGACCCTCCATCTTGGTACATATAGCTTTCATTTCTTGATTTTCATTGCTTAGTAATGTTCTATTGTATAAACATACAAAGATTTATTTATCCATCTTTTATTCATAGATGTGTAGTTTTCTGTTTTTTGATGTTATAAGCAATGCTGCTATAAAAATTATTGTATATGTTACTCTCTTTACATGCATGGGACTTTTTAGGTATGAACATAGAACCAGAATTCCTGTCCCATTGTGCATTTTCAGCTTCATTAAGTATTGCCACATTGTTCTCCAAGTGTTTATACCCATTACATTCTCACCAGTAAATTAAAAAATCAAACTATATTAAATTTAAAAATCAATAAAATAAAACCACGTGTTCCACAATTTCACCAATACTCAATATTGCCAGACTTTTAAATTGTTGCTGGATTGTGCCAGCCCTTTTAAGCCATTGAGGATTTTTTTGGCTTTTACTTTAAGTGAGATGAGAAGCCTCTGGAGGATTTTGAATAGAAGAAGGTAATGACCTAAGGATAATAATTCTGGCCATTGGATTGAGAACAGACTATAAGGAAGTAAAGGGACAGAACCAGTTAGACCCCTTAAGTGGCTGTTGCAATAATTTATTCAAAATGTGATGGAGGATTAAGCTAGAGTGGTAGCAGTGGAAGAATGAGAATTAAAGACATATCCAGACTCTAAATATGTTTAGAAGGTGGTGGCATTTTGAAAGTAAAAATGATGGATTTGCGATTGGCTTGCAGGCAGAGTGTGTGAGAGATTCCAAGGTTTTGGATCAGTAACTGAAAGAGTTCAGTTGCTGTTTACAAGGATGGGGATGGATACAGGAGGAACAGTTCAGGTGAAAAGATCAGGATCAGCTTTGGGCTTGATCTATTTGAGAAAACTATTAGATACCCAACTGAAAATAGATAAGTCTAGAATTAACATTATAGTTTAGAACTAGAGTCTAAATTTTTGAATATCATATAGATAGTATTTAAGCTTTGAGACTAGAAGCAGTCACCAAAAGAGTAGTATAGTCAGAGAAGCAAAAAGGCCCATGAACTGAAACCCATTTTTAATGGGAGATAAGGAGAAGCCAGCAAAGAAAACAAATAGAGGAGGAAAACCAAAATAGTGGCTGTGCCAAAAGTAAAAATGTGTCCCTTCCTGGGACACCTGGGTGGCTCAGTCCCTTGAGCATTTGCCAAGGGACTGGGATCAAGCTCCAAATGGGCCTCCCCCCTCCATGGGGAGTCTGCTTCTCCCTCTCCCTTCCTCTTTCATGTGCTCACTCTCTGTCAAATAAATTTTTAAAAAATTTTGTTTAATGTGTTCCCTACTGCTGACAGACCAAGTAGGTTGAGAACTGAGATTTGATCATTAGATTTAGCAACATGAAAGTCACTGCTGATTTCTCAATAGCAATTTTGGTGGAGTGGTGGGGGTGAAAGCCCAATGAGAGCCTTTTAAGAGAAGACAAAGGAGAGAAATAATTATTCTTTATATGATTTTTTGCTATATGGGGGAATAGGGAAACATGGCTGCACTTGGGTGGTGGATTTGGGTCAAGAGAGGATTTTCTTAATATTGGAAGAATATTAGCATATTTATGTGCAATGGGAAGATGCAAAAAAGTAAAGGAGAAATGATGATGCAGTAGAGAAAAGAGACAAATTCTAGAGTGATGTCCTTGAGTAGTTGAGAGGAGATGGGACTAGTGGATTAGTAAAGAGAGTTACAGAAAATTCGTCAGTTGTGGCCAAAGGGAAGACAGAGTAAATGGACATGGATATGAGCTGAGGGATAGAAGCAGTGGTAAGAAGGCAAAGAATGATGGTTGCTCTGTGAAATAGGAAATAAGAATCATCCAAAGGTGTGTAAGGAGAGGTGTCAGAAGTTCTAGTAAAGAGGATAAGTATGGCATACTGATCTAGGAAAAAGAAACTGGAAATTGTTCCTTCTGATTTTTAACCTGTCTTGGATTATTTCACTAAACTGGTCTTCTAGTTTCTGTCCTTGCCCCAGAACGATTCTCTTTTAACAAGATCATGTCATTCTGCTCAGAACCTTCCAATAGCTGTACATCTTGCTAAGAGTTGAATCCAGAGTCTCTCATACCTCCTATAAAGCTCTATACTGGGATCCCTGGGTGGCGCAGCGGTTTGGCGCTTGCCTTTGGCCCAGGGCGCGATCCTGGAGACCCGGGATCGAATCCCACGTCAGGCTCCCGGTGCATGGAGCCTGCTTCTCCCTCTGCCTGTGTCTCTGCCTCTCTCTCTCTCACTGTGTGACTATCATAAATAAATAAAAATTAAAAAAAAAATAAAGCTCTATACTACCTGTTCCCATATTGCCTCCAAAGCTCAGTTTGCCTCCTGCAACTGCTTTCCCCCTCTCAAACCATCAAAGCAGGACAACTGTGTCTATTTTTTGTTCACTACTATATCTTCAGTGAAGATACAGTGCCTAGCACATAAGAGGTCCTCTAAAAATTTTTCAACAAATTAAGCAACAGCATTTTAATAATAAATTAAGAAGAATAGAAGCAAGGTCATCCAAATTGTAGTCTTCCTCTGAATGCGTTGGGTTTCTTGGGACATATGGGTAATGAAGACTTTGCTTATAAATTGGGAAAGTGTGGGGCCAGACAGGTGCTGTGCTCATTTAAATGCCACTGGAAGTTTCATATATCTTTCACTCAAAAAATTTAAGAGATGGAAGTTCCAAATGTTTTTTTGTGCTACAGGGTGAGCTACATAAGGTTTGCAATTCACATAAATTTATTTATATTCAGGCAAGGGCTAGTGTAACCTAACTTCATTCAGTGCAACAAACAGAACCAAAGTGGATAAAATTCCATGAAATGTACTGTTAATGATGCTGCTGAATACATTTTTTTTGCATGTTATAATGCCCTCATTGTGAGGCGAGCAACAGAAAATTCCTTATAGTGCCACAATGAGGACCAGGCTTCTTGTTTCATTATTTCATAAAAGTTGCAAATCATGTCACTGATTCTATTCCGTTCTCTTCTTTGGCTGTAAAGAAAGCTAGAATCAAATGTATGCCCCTTGTTTTTGTCAAGCACTTGTGACTTGTGGATTCATGTCTGCTCCTTCCATTATTAAAAATAACCCCATAAATAACTAAATATCTAAGAAGCGAGTCATGTATGATTCAGGGATCCAATTCTGAGTACCTAGTGTCTAAAAGGAAAGGCAAAATAATACCAAAAGAAAGGTTAACTGCTCCTTCAGGAAATGTGTGCAACTTCTAAAATGCATTCTGAGCGCTAACCTGACTTCTTACTTCACCGTGTTTATTACACCATGCTGTTATCTTAAAACCAATTTAATACTCCCATTTAATTTTAATTTAATTTTGCCCTATTACCTCAAGGGTTCTCCATGTATAGGAAGGATTATTAATACTTCTAGGTTTCTGCAGAGGGATCAAAGCTCAGACAGAAAAAGAAGTGAATTAGATGGAGCAGCCATACCTACACCATTACATGGGTCTTCACAATGATGGTTTTTCTTTGTTCCTCCAGTAACATTTAGGTTTACACTGGAGAATGACCAACACCTAAAAATGTATCTCTTAATCTTTCAAAGGTTTTGGTGTAGTGGAAAGAGGAAACTTGACCAGACTTTAAGTAGCTTATAAAAATAACTGAAAGAGTCTATCCTCCCTAAAACAGGAAATAAAATGTCACCATGCAACTTTAAACTACAGTCAGTACATCATGTTAAAGTGCTAGAAATTATCTAAGTTACTTCCAATCTTCCTCTTTTCATGAAAATCAATGATTTTAGAAGTGCAATAAAAGTAATTTTGCTCAGAGGAACGTTGGCTTCTCTTGTCATTGTGGAATGATCCCTGGGAGAAACCTTGATTAGATCCAGCAGCAGTTGAGTCCAACCCCTTAAGGGGATTCAATCTGTCCATAATCCGCTAAGATTTGTGGAAGGGAGCTGAACTGAGATCCAACTTCAAGAAGTAACAAAATTTGAAGAAGTCTAAGCAGTGGCACTACATAAAAATTCAGCCACACTTTATGAGCATATCATTATCCCTAGAACTATCAGAATGCCTATCCAGATAATTTCAAAGTATCATTTATAAAGTTGGGCTAGAGATCACTAGGTTTGGAATCAAAAAGGCATCTTAAATGGGATTTTTAGATTTTCAAAGACACAGAGAGAAATATACTACCAATAAGTTGCAGTTCTGTAGGATTTATACTTCTCAGATCCAGATACTCTCCCCAGGACTCTCTCCCCATCCCTCATCCGTGCACCAATCCATTCAGCTAGTTGACACTCAGGGCATTGCAGAACCCTTCTCTTTCTAACTTCTATTTTGTCTCAAAATGCTGCTAGTATAAAATTGATAAGAAATAAAAAGAGAGAAGAGCCTCCAAAAGAAAAATCAAAGAATAGATTGTGACTCTGGTCATCATTTTAATGAAATGAGTGTTGAGATTGGGGAAAATGCAGATATAACTAT